ACTAATGGCATAAATAAATAAGGGAATCGACGTCTTAGACGGCGCTCGTTCCGGTGCGAGAGCATAGTCGAATTGAGTTGGCGGGGCGTGCTTCGATCGCACGCAGAGGACCCACGCGGCGACGGACCTTGTCGCTGGCGAGGCTGATCTGGCCGAGGCTGGTCGCCTTGACTCGGCAGGTGCTGCACACAAGCTTCTTGGTCGACGGGCACAGCGCCAGTTGGCTGTCGACCTTGCGCGGCTTTTCGTTGCAGGTGCTGCAGCGGGCCGGCGACTTGTGCAACATGGCGCGGACGACAGCGCCGAGGCGGGCAACGCTCTGCGCGCGCTTGGAAGTCATGCGCGTCGCGATCGCGGACGAGATCGTGCCTTTCCAGTCAATGTCGACTGTGCTGCTGGCTTGGAAGACACCGGGCTCGGCCGTCTCGATGACAACGACGCCCCACGACCGGACGTCGGCCGAGACGTAGGTGGTGTGCGCCGCCGTCGTCGGGTGCGACCGAATGTACCGGGCGTATCCGCGCCGGCCGTGCGCATCGACAAACGTCTTGGAGCACTCGAGGTACGTGGCGCAGCGGTCGCGCATGAACGGCAGTGGCGCGCGGAAGAGCCCCCAGCGCAATGAGAGCCGCATCGCCGGTGTCTTCTGTAGTGAGAGCAGGAGCCGCGACTTGTCGAAGTGAAGGCTGCTGCCGTCCATCGGCTCTTCGTACACGCGGATGATGTCGTCAAGAGAGCCGACGCCGGCCACGTTGACCATATGTCGGCACGCCTCGTACGTCCAGGTCGCAGTCTTGGGGAGGAGCTTGCCCTCGGGCGTCTGCTGCGCCCACCGAATGAGGTGCGTGAGGCCGTCCGTGGCCATGGCTGTCACAGCAGCCCGATCGACCGGGTCCATCGGAAACATCGTCGCGTTCGTCATTGTAGGTATCAAAGTGTGTACTTGCTGGCAAAAACCAAAGTGAACAGGTTGAAACAGCCTGCGACTTGCAACATAACATGCCAAATTTGCATATGTCGCAACGCCAGAGTAGGACGACGGGCCACACCTGAGCGGTCGACGGACTGGGCACTGGCTCTATAGGGCGATTCGTACAATTCGCCGTGTACTACACAGCCCATCGATTACGAGTGCGCGAGGTTTGACTTGCGTGCGTCTTGGAAGCAAGTCACGTACACGCGTTGAAATTGGTCCTTGCACGCGTCACCCCGCACGTATTTGCTGTGATTCGTACATTTTAAGGAGAGCTACGAAGAAAGGACAGGGCTTACATTCTGGTATAGTACCCTAGTTCTTTTTATTAAGTTGTTATTTGTGCCGGCACCCATGACCTTGCCCTTTGTGATGATGGCCTTTGGACCTTGCTCAGGGTGATCACAGTCTGATCACCGGGCAGTGATCACGGGCGCGGATTAGTCCAGGGAGAGAGCAATTCTCATCGCTGCTGCGAGATGGAAGGAAGTTCCACGATCAACTGGGCTATTACAGCCTACGACCGACGAGTGGCGTACCGTACAGCAGTATAAATGACCAAGCTGCCGATGGGCACTAAGAGACAGCGTGATGACGTCCAACTTTTTAGGATATTTGGGCGAGAGATGCGTCTGCGTTGGAACGACAGGCGCTTGTCCGAAGAGCTTGGCATGGGCTACTGGTACAATTGGCCCCCAGTGGGCATCTACACGTTGTTGTAAATATAACCTCTCTACGACATTACTTTGTTGTACCCTGCTCTTCTCCAGCCCCAAGGCTCCGTCAAAGTTCCAGCACGACCGATATTGCGCGTTTCCCGTCGTCTGGTCGATCGAATATCTCACGCGAAGGCAGCTGCGAGATTAGACCAGCTATTTGCGAATCTTTGTTGGCGCATGCAACACACAACACACTGGCTACCTCAAAGCTCCTTCAGCTGCATTCCGCACGCCATCATTTAGAGCTTGTCCAGAGCGAGCATCGTGAGAGAAACGGACTTCAACATTCGAGTTCTTAGCGGCAGAGTCGAGTAAGATCTGCCCGTCGTGCGAGCCGTCGATCCACGCATTGCAACAAGTTCGCGTGTAGCTTGAAGCCTCTGCACCGCACACCTGATTGGTCCAGTCCACCCGAGATGTCCGTGTTGATGAATGCAACGATTCCCACTTGATACCCTGATACTTTCAAAAAGGCGGCTGCAGGTGAGACCTGCCGGAGTCACTGGCGTATATACTACAACTATGTGATTCCTATTATAATATGAGTTTACTATCGGCTATTTCTTGGTGCGCAGCGCGATCGGGCGCGATCGGTACTCGGACAAGTAGCCCAAGTCGACAGGGCCAGGTTCGGTTGACCACTCCCACGCCGTCGGCGACCGCAGCTCCGACTCGACTGTCGACGCATCCGAGATGGCTGTGGACCGCGTCATGGCCTCATCTCTGGCCTTGCACACGCAGACGAGGCACGCGGTGGCGCCGCTGAGGCGTTGGCTAATGCCGCGGCAGTTGTCGCACAGCGGCTTGGCGCAGCTTTCGCACGGCGTGAGCTTGGAGTGGGCGTCGCACATCCGCGGCTTGCTTCGGCACATGGAACACCGGTGCTGCGCATCTTTCTTGGACGCGCGGAGGATCGACGGAAGATGCTTGATGCTTTGTGCGAGGCGCGACGTCATGCGCGTGGCCGTACACGTCGTGACGTGGCCTTTCCAGTCGACGTCGACGAGCGTGCTGGCGTGCAGAATGTTGGGGTCGGCCGTCTCGAGAAGAACGACGCCCCACGCCCGGAGGTCGACGCGCACGTAGCCTTCGCCCATCGAGCCCATCTCGCACGACGTGATGAAGCGCGCAAAGCCGCGCCGGCCACTCGGATCGGTAAACTTCTTGGAGCACTCGAGGAACGTGGCGTCGCGGTCGTGCATGATTGGGAACGGCGCCTGGAAGATGCCCCACTGCAGCGCGACGTGCAGTCCGCCGGCCTTGAAGCTCGAGAACGTCTGGACCTTGTCCGCGTGCACGTGGCCGGCGACCGCGGCGGCGTCGTCGGCGCTGCGGTAGAGCGTCACGAGGTCGTCGAGCGAGCCGACGTCGTGCATGTCGAGCTCGCACCGACATGCTTCGTGTGTCCATGTCGCCGACTTGGGGTACATTTTGCTGCGCGACGGCTCCTGCGCCCACGTAATTAGCTCGTCGATGCCGCTCGTCGCGCGCGCGAGAAGAGCCGAGCGCTCGGTAATATCAAGCTCGAGGGACTTCATCTCGAAAAGGTCAAATGCAAAGTGAACTCCAGGTTCGTAGTGTAGGTCGCCTCTGACCAACGCATTCGCTTTCGATGGCGCACGAGCCTACGCGACAGGAGGCGCCACGCGCATATCCGCACTGTACCAAGCCGCAACGTTTTGGGAAGGTTCGAGAGGGATGGCGCCATCTTGCAGTGCGCGCGCTTCAAGTTCACATGAAATACGCCATTTTGATTGGCCAGCTAACGCATGGCGCCACTCGAGGCGCATCCCAGGTGCACGACTTTGAAGTTTGGCCCACGCCGCCGCCGTGACTTGGTTGCGTTCGTCAACACGCGCGCACCAAGTTCGTGGGCGTCAACCACGTGGGCGTCATGAGCGCAAACCCATTTTCAAAATTTGACATGTCGCCCGAATGTTTACTGCTGGCGCGTGATCGCGCTATCGCCGCCCATCCACAAGGCACAACTCGCCGCCGCTTCGCTTCGCCCGGAAGAGCCTCGCTGCGCTATTAACGTCGGCAACAACTAGGGGTACACCCCTGCTTCGCGAGCGTTCGCCTGGTCGGATCGGTGAGATCTCGACCGTCGCTGTGCTACACGCGCCTTGCGTTACGGCGCCAGATGGAGCCGCCGACAAAGTCAACCGAAATCTGCGCCTGTGGGCGAACCGAGCTGAAGCCGTCGCCGCGCTTACGACTGCCGCGCCAGGACCGCTCAGTACGTGATCAATGCGTCGTCAAGCGACGAAACACTGACATTCAAATTGCACACCGGTCCTACTCTGTGCCGCTGCCACGTCATCAGACCTTCCATTTTGAATACCATATCAAATGAAAGAGGGGCGTTTCGGACTTTCATGGCAGATCGTTGATGAGCCCATCACCCCAAGCGACGACGATGGCAGGCTACGACCTCGTGGCCGACGCCAAGGTAGGAGTCGCTTACGCGCCTTCGCTCATGGATGGTAGCAGGCGGCGCCTCGGCTCGGCGTTGCATGGGCGCTCGTGGCACTCGCGGTCGCGGCGAACCTGCTCTTTGGCGGGTTTATCTACGGCTGGGCCTCCATCTTGCTTTTCCTCCAAGGTGAGCACCAGTATGCGTCGCTCTGCGCAGTCGACAGCGTCATCGACAGCGTCACGCACACATGCGTTGCTCAAGACAACCGGCTCAATGTCATCTTTGGCGCTGCGCAGGTGACGTTCACGATCAGCTCGCTCCCGATCGGCATGCTGCTCGACCGCTTTGGGCCGACGGTGCTGACGGCGTGCGGCGGCGTGGCCTCGACGCTCGGCGTCCTCCTCTTTGCCATCAGCAACGCCTCCGAGTTTGATGCGTTCCTACCCGCGTACATACTCACGGCGCTCGGCGGCATGGCGACGCTCCTCGTCGGCTTCCAAACCGGCTTTGTGCTGCCTAGCTGGCAGACCGTGATTCTCGCAGGCATCAACTGCACCTTTGACGCCAGCGCTGTCCTTCCGACTGTGCTCTACGCGATCCACGACGCGTCCGGTGCGTCTCGTCGGACGCTTCTTATCGTGTACGCCTGCCTCGCCGCGGTCACCTACAGCGTCTGGACGTTCCTGTGGTGGAAGCATCGATCCGAGCCAATGGCTGCCGCCCAAGAGCTCCAGGATGACGACGACGGCGAAGCGCCGGTCGAGGTATAGTATCTCTTATTCATCGGAATACTACCTGCAATGGCCTCGTAGGCGGCAATTCTGGCCTCTGCGCCGCTCTCGTTTCAGCTGCGGTCGTTTGAGTTCCGGTACCTTCTGCTCTTTACGATCATTCACAGCTTCCACAACGCCTTCTACTTTGGCAGCATCAACCGCACGCTGGCGGTACGATCGCTCATCGACCGGTCGCCCTCATGCACCGACGACTGCTGCGTAGAAGTACGACGACGCGACGCACGTGTACACCAAAGTGTTCGGCTGGGTCCTCCCCGTCGGGTTCATTTACATTCCGCTCATCAACAGCGTCATCGAGCGCCAAGGCCTCGGCACTTCCATGCTTCTGACGAATTTTCTCTGCATGGTGGCGTACGGCATCGCGTTCATTCCGTCGCTGCCGCCGCAGGTCGTGGCGTTTGTCCTCTTTGTGGGCTTTCGTGGCTTCTTCTACGCCAACAACACGGCGTTTGCAGCCCAAGTCTTTGGCCATATGCACATGGGCACGGTCATCGGCATCACGTACGCGGTCAGCGGCCTCTTGGCGCTGCTCGAGGTGCCTGCTGCGTCGCTCGCCAACGCCAGCGACGAGGGCTGGTACGCCATGTACGGCACTGCGCTCGGTCTCTGCGTCCTTCTCTTGCCGTGCACAGAAGTCTACCGCCGCCACGCCAAAGGAACGTCGCAGTAGTAAGAAGGCTGATTTACAAACTAGATAAATATATGTTGTCTGCATCGAACGCGGTCAAACCCTTGCCCTACCCTAACCCTTCACAGGTCGTGGTCAGTGTCGAGGTGTCTAAGGCCCGTGTTCAAGTCCACAGAGCGCGACAAAGGCAGCTCTGACAGAGTATAGCTGATCTACGTTCAGACAGCACAGTGCAGCTGGTAGCGATATGGTCGCCTCTCTTCTGAGGTAGTCGAGAACGAGACCAAAACGGGGGTGAATCGAATGGTTGAAGAGCAGCAAGAAGTTGACGTAGAGAATGCAACTTAAGTTATCTATCAGGATTGCTAAAGAGCTGGTAGCGGCATCGAGGCAGAGGCGAGGCCTTTCAAGCACAAGCGCTGCAGGTGCGGGAGGCGTGAAATGGTCTGAGAGAGCGCCGCCTCGAGCGAATGTCCGTCGTGCGCGTGCGACGACCACAAGAAAGTGCGCACCGCGCTTAGCACCGCCGATACAACGCGCGGCAGCCCGACGTAGGTGGCACAGGGTCGGTGAAAGCCCAGCGCAAGGTCGCTCAGACGCGAGTCGTTGATCTTGGTGGCCAAGTTTGGAAGCAGTTCGTGCGTGCAGCCATCCAGCGCCAGCGCCGAGACGTGAAGCCCGAGTCGGTGCTGCGACTGCAAAAAAGACTCGGTCATGTTGCCGCCATGTAGCGCAATAGACTGCAAGGACGGCGCAAGCAGTAGGCTGTCGCAGAGAAGACGCGCCTCGGGGCTCTGCTGCGGCAAGAAGAGGTTTGTGAGCGCGATGTTGGTGACAGACGCAGCGTCCAGCCATGCTGCAAACACCTTGCTCATGGCCATATCCCACGTAAACCAGCTCTCGAACGTTAGCGAGACGTCCGTGAGCGACGACGCGGTAATCGCATCAAGGAGGACGGCGGGCGCGTCGAAAAGGTCGTCTGCCGCGTCGAGCGCCCAGTGCAGGCGCAGCGAGGTCAGCCGTGGCAGCTTCGTCAGCTGCTGGCACCACGTCCGCACCGCGTCGCCCGTCCAGCGCGTCGCCTCATTCTCGTGCTCCAGGTGAATGGTCACAGACGTGATGTGGTCGCGCCACTCTGTCATGGCCACAGCGTAGGCTGCAGGTGAGGCCAGCGCCAGCAGATGCACGCGTGTCGACGGCAGCAGCGAGAGCGAGCGGATCGAGGTCGACGGCGCGGCCACCGCCACAGCTGGAAGGACGCGCAGGATCGACTCGATCAAAGCGGCCACGTGTGGCGTCGCGTCGTGCGGCAAAACCAGCGTCGGCCAGAGCGACGTAGGCTCGACATGTGTCGCAAGCTCGCGCAAGCTCTGTAGCGGCGGCGTCAAGAGATCGGTCGGCAGCGCTGCCAGCAGCGCGAGGAGGTCGACAGCGCTGGGTACGTGCGTAGCAACGAGCTCGAGCAGCTCGGCGCTGAGGCGAGATGTATGGTTCGGCATCGATGATCTTGGCAAGTGGCGAATTTTGGCCCGCGTGCTTCAAGTCCCACTCCGCGTCGGAGACAACGCGACTTGTTCTCTGCGACCAGGTCTGCGATACGAGGTACGAGTAGCCTTCTTCCCGATCGCGTCAAGAAGCCGTCTACGCCGCAAGACTGTGCACCTCGGGTCGGGTATCTCGTGGTGCTTGTCTGGAGCGAGCCTGTGCCAGCGGTGCGCCAGGCGCCAGCGCCTCGATCCTGCACACAATCCTGTGCAGCCCACTGGTTGTATCCGGATATGGTTTTCCGGATCTGCAACTTCAACGCGGACAGGCAGCTTGGCGCCGGACTGCAGGCCGCTCCAGTGCAAGGCGTCAGTCAAAAGGCAACGATGGGCACGCGACACAGTGATAGAGCTTCGATGACCTTCGCCACAGGAATTCCCGTGTCGCTCTGCCCGGCAGCAGCAGCGAAGGAGCTTCGGACTCAAGTTAGCAAACGAACGGGCCGGACCTCAACGCTGGGGTCCAGTCGTCGCCGTACGAAGCCACGTCATAGGACCTCCAAGCTGGCTCACAACGGTATTATTGCAATGGTCGATCGATCGATGAAACCAGGCATATATGAGCATGTCCAGAACAAAGCGTCGATAAATCATTACGTAGTGCAACGAAATAGCCTAGCTAGATCGTGCCGTGATCGCTTCCGGTAGCTCTCTTGTAGGCAGCACGGGACGCCGTTGCCCTCTCGGCGAAGAAGGCATGGGCAACGACCCACCGCTTCCTCATGAAACCAACCTTGAACAAAAGCTAGTATCAAGGTAGCTATCAAGGTATCCTGGTCAAAAAAGAGATGTAACCCGCCCTGCCAGTTCACGCCACCATCCCGAACCCTAATTCGAGCCGTAGACCATTGGAGGTCACGTCAGCGTAATGTCAACCACTGCCGCGGTCAAGTCGAGGCTAGCGAAGGCGAGTCCCCGAGGCAGAGTGTCTTGAAGCAGCGAGGCCAAGGGCCATTAACAGCTCCATCAACACAACCACCGGCTCAGAAACGTGGTTGCTGTTGGAACAAACGCCTTCGGTGGTAACACCATATGTACCCATGGCATCCGTGTCGCATGGCGCACGCTTGGTTGCGCTCGTGATCGCGTCGGTGGTGCCCCTGGTTTAGGCATTGGAGAGCGAACTCGCTGCGATTGACCGCAGTCATGCGCTAGTGTTGCTGGCAGATGGCTGCAGTGCGTATCACGCGCGCGATCTATTGCACGTATGATGATGGGCACCGAGCCTGTCATCATACTGTACCATGGGTGGTTGCCACTCTTGGGGACCAGCGCAGGCACTCGTCAATTTCCCGTCTCTCCGATGGCCGACGTTATCCCGGCGGTACGATCCCACCGATCATCGCCGACGCTCATGCTGTGTGGCTAGCGCTGTGCCTCGTGGGCGCTCGTGCTGACTGTGCTTGCATCCAACCTCCTCTTTGCCGGCTTCATCTATGGCTGGGCCTCGATGCTGCTCCTGCTGCAGGAAGAGAACCAGTACGCCGAGCGCTGCACGCCCGAGACGATCAACCCAACGACCGGCCGCTGCGCCGACCAGGACGCCAAGCTCAGCCTTATCTACGGCGTCGCCCAGTTTACTCTCACGTTTAGCTCGCTCCCATCGGGCATTGCGCTCGACAAGGTCGGCCCCATGTGGATGAGCCTCGTCGCTGGCGTCCTCTCGACGACCGGCTTTGTCCTGATGGCGCTCAGCGACTCGGTGGAGTTTGATGCCTTTGTCTATGGCTACGTGCTCATTGCGATCGCCGGCAGCGCGACGCTGCTCACGTCACTTCGCGCCGGGTTTGTGATTCTTCAGTGGCAAACTGCGATATTTGCCGGCATCAACTGCCTCTTTGACGCGTCGGCGGTCATGCCGTCGCTCCTGCACACGATGCAGTCTTCGCTAACGGTGTCGCGCCAGTCGCTGCTGTTGGTGTACGCGATCCTGACAGCGGCGGTGTACATGCTCCTCGTCGGTCTCTGGTGGCTCCATGGTCGCCATACCACCGCTGCCATCGACGAAGAAGCACCGGTACAAGCCGACGCGCCGTCGAGTCTACAGTACGAAGCCATGGACGAGGTGCGAAATCTGCACAGAAATCAAATGAAAGTCACGTGCGATAGACGGTGCCGCTGACGGCCGCGCCGCTCCAGACGCAGCTCAAGTCGTTCGAGTTTCGGTACTTGCTGCTGTTTGCCGCCGTGCACAACCTCCAGTCGTCCTTCTACTTTGGCACGGTCAACCGAACGCTCGTCGTACGCATCTTGTGATTTTTGAGGATTTTTATCGATTTTCGTAGAATTACAACGACGTCGACGAGGTGTACATCAAAGCGTTCGGGTGGATCCTCCCCGCGGGCTTCGTCTTTATTCCTGTCATCGACACGCTCGTCGACCGGTTTGGCCTCCCCGTCTCGATGCTCTCGACGACACTCCTCAGCATCGGGTACCACGTTCTCGCCATGATCCACTCGCTCCCGCTTCAAGTCGTCACCTTTGTGCTCTTTACGGCCTTCCGCGCGCTCTTTTACGCCAACGTGGCCACGTGCGGCGCGACGACCTTTGGCCACGCCAACATGGGCAAGATCCTCGGCACCGTCTACTCGTCGTCGGCCATCGTCGCGCTGCTTGAAATCCCCGCTGCGACGTCGGCCAACACGAGCGAAACGGGCTGGAACGTTCTGTACGCGGTCTCGCTCGGCCTCGCCGTCGCGCTGGTGCCCGTCATCCTTGTGTACCGCCGTCGGTTCTATGCCAAGACAGTCTAATCACAGTCTGTCAAGACATCTTTTTGCGTGTCAGATAGGAGTACGGGAGGGTTGGGGTAGCCCTTTGACACCATGATCGGCAACCCAGCAGAGCCAGGAAAACATTTTACGAATCACTTCGATTTGACAGTCACTTTTACTTGTCGTCGACGACTCGCTTGGTCCGTGTGGCTCATTCATAAGGTTGCTTACGCAAGCCCTTCGTTACGTGGTCGCCAGTGTTCGCAGGCGAGCCCACTTGGCTGCTCCAAACACAGGACAACCTCACGTTCGTGCAGGAGGCCAGAGCGTCCATGTCCTGCAAAGTCGCTTCGGAGTGCGCGTACGTGAGAGCTTTTGCTCCGTTTCGAACCCAGCGCTGGAGAGCTCGACCAACATCGCCCAAGTACTCTGCGACACCAGCGCACTGCACCCACGCGATCGAGTCGAGCGGCTTGGCGCTTGCGATCCAGTTGAATTTCGTGTCTAAATGCAAGCATCCACGTCCGAATGAGCAAAGCTCACGCAGCGAAGCTTGGCGTCGATGCCCCGTGGGTGGAGCGCAGGTCCGTACAGCGCCATACAACCCATGCTCCAGGGAGGAGAAGGTCTGCGCCGTGGGAACACGCGAGGAGCTCGTTGCCGTCGCCGCAAAGCGCGAGTGTTGTGAGTTAAGAGGTGTTGAGCAAAGACACGAGACGCTCCACGCTATCTTGCGGTGCCAGCCAGCGGACGCTCACCGAATCGCAGTCGATGCAGGGACCAGGGAAGGCGGGCATGGCAGTTGCAACAAACGGAATCGCGGCCTCGGCCGAGGCCAGATGGACATTTCGTGTAGATCTTGGTTTTGTATTGCTGTCAAGAGCATGCGCAGCGCGTCGAGCGCCGGCGTATAGCGAGTCCATAGCGCGTGAAGTAGCGAGACGATGTCGGCAGGCGACTCGATGCACTAAACATTGCAGAGAAGACTCGCGAGTCGTTCAAAACCGGCGCCAGCCTCACGAGTGGAGACTTTTGGAAGTTTCGTATGGATATTGTGCGCCTCAAAGTTGATACGAGTCGATAGTTGAGACTTAGTAGAAGTATATGTCAAGTCGGGCGTTGTGGAACAATTATCTTACACCGAAGACGATGGCTTACCACAGAGTCCAGGGTGCACGAATAAACAAAGCAGCAACAGAAGGGCGGTAATGTTGGTGTCGGGTGCAAGCGCGTGCAAAAATATGTGATTTGTCAGCGGCGGGATTTGAACCCGCGAGTGCGAACACACTAGAACTTGAGTCTAGCACCTTGGACCGCTCGGTCACACTGACATTTCTTGATATTAGCACATTTGTGATCAAACCATACAGTTGCTGTGACAAAATACGGAATTCTAACACAAACAGGCTCCATATCGATTTTATTGATAGAATTTGTCGACTAGAAGCTGTTATAAACGTGATTTGAAGCTTCTTTATTAAAACAAATCCGATATGGAGCCTGTTTGTGTTAGAATTCCGTATTTTGTCACAGCAACTGTATGGTTTGATTGCAAATGTGCTAATATCAAGAAATGTCAGTGTGACCGAGCGGTCCAAGGTGCTAGACTCAAGTTCTAGTGTGTTCGCACTCGCGGGTTCAAATCCCGCCGCTGACAAATCCCATATTTTTGCACGCGCTTGCACCCGACACCAACATTACCGCCCTTCTGTTGCTGCTTTGTTTATTCGTGCTAGCGATTCACTACAAGTAGAGATCAAAACCATGCCCAAAGATCTCATCCCGATGCAAAATTGCGCTGCATTGCGATCGACAAGCTCGCGACTGGTAGTCTCGGTCAAGGACCGTTGTCTCCGTGAAATACAGCTCCCAGCGTGAGCAGCGAAGCGCGCGTACAAGATGGAATACGCACCGTAAATCTGTTGCAAGGGAGCACATTGTCTCCTTCAACATCAACGATAGCCACACTACCTGGGTGCTCGGTGCAGAAGGCCAACACGCAATCCTCGTCGCTCGTACCGTTATGGGTACATGCTTCTTGCAAGGTCGTGGCTCCTTCCGTCGGGCAAAGGGAAATAGCGCGTGGCCTATTGCTGGAAATATTAGGGCGGTCAAGAGACTACCATGAACGGGCGAGAGACAACGATGGTCCTCTCGAGGTGATCGCAGTGGACGCTGGAAACTTCGAAAAAGATACGAGCGATGGAACGCGGTGCGAGGTTGCAGCAGCCACGCTCCCACCCACGCCAACTTGGATTGGCCCCCGCGACAGGCGCTGGGACGTCACCGACACCGAGCAGCAACCAAGGCACGCACGCTGGCGAATGGACGGGGCTCGACCGCCACGGGCCGAGCCAGTCCGCATACTTCAACTTGGCATCCGGCACATTCAACGAATCCGGGGCGCCCCGGGTGCATAGATTTGTCACAGACTTGGCGCCTTTTCTCCAAGGCTCGTCGCAGGCCCCATTTTCGGCCTCTTCGACGCCGCCTCAACACACTATAGCGAGGTACCTCGACCCTTCGCAAGTGCGCTGGTCCTTTCATTTTGACTCGGCGCTGCTCTGTCAGAATCCGCGCCTGCTACACGCCGAGCGTTGGTCCACAGTCCGCGCCGCCGAACGTAGCATCGACAACATCTGGTGCAACGAATCGCGGACACATGGGTACACTTGCACGGCTGTCTCGGGAGCTCTCCGAGCCACCTTTTTCATTTTTCATTTTCACCGCGTCGAATGACCCTTGCAACAGTTCGCCGGTCCTCCCAGTCGATCGACATTGAAAAGCCCGGCGGCTACACGCGTAGCGAGGTGCTCTCGTGGACGCTCGTCCTCCTCGTGTGGCTTTCCAACCTCCTCTTTGCCGGCTTCATCTTTGGCTGGGCCTCGATGCTGCTCATGCTCCAGGAAGAGAACCAATACGCCGAGCGCTGCACGCCCGAGACAATCAACCCTTCCACCGGCCGCTGCGCCGACCAGGACGCCAAGCTCAGCCTTATCTACGGCGTTGCCCAGTTCCTCCTCTCGTTCTGCTCGCTCCCGACCGGCATCGTGCTCGACAAGGTCGGCCCCATGTGGATGACGCTGGTTGCTGGCATCTTTGCGGTCGCGGGCTACCTCCTCATGGCGGTCAGTGACTCGGCCACCTTTGATGCTTTTGTCTACGGCTACGGTCTTCTCGGCATGTCGGGCAGCGCGACGCTCCTCGCCTCGTACCGCGCCGGTTTTGTGCTCCTGCGGTGGCAGACGGCCATCATCGCGGGTGTCTGCTGCCTCTTTGACGGCAGCGCGGTCATGCCGTCCGTGCTCTACGCAATTCACAAGTCGGGTGGCTTCTCCCGCCAGTCGCTGCTCTATTTCTACGCCGGCGTCGCATTCGTAGTGTACTTCTCGCTCGTCGCGCTCTGGTGCATCATTGAGCGCCAAAACAAGGTCCTCGAAGGCACGATCGACAGTGTCTCGGACAACAGCGACCCGGAGGCCGCCCTGAGCCCGTCGTACAACGCGCTCCAAGAAGACAAGCCGCTCTCCGAGTCGCCGCTCTTCACGCAGCTCAAGTCGTTTGAGTTCCGCTTCCTCCTCACGTTTACGGCCGTGCACAACCTCCAGTCGTCCTACTACTTCGGTACTGTCAACCAAACGCTCGCGGTATGTCATTCTTTGCATCTTTTGAATCGGTGCTCATGATGAGTGGTGTAGAACTACGACGATACGAGCAAGGTTTACACCAAGGCGTTTGGCTGGATCCTCCCCGCCGGCTTTATCTTCATCCCGGTCATCGACTGGGTCGTCGGCCGCTTCGGTCTCCCGGCGTCCATGGGCCTCACGACTGCGCTTTGCATTGGCTATCACATTGTGTCGCTGATCCCGGTTCTCACTCTGCAGGTCGTGAGCTTCGTCCTCTTCACGGCCTTCCGCGCAATGTTCTACTCGAACGTCGCAGCCTGCGGTGCGGCGACCTTTGGCTCGGTCAACATGGGCAAGATCATTGGTGCAGTCAACACGGCGGCCGCCATTATCGCGCTCCTTGAGATTCCGCTTGTCGAAGCCGCCCACGGTGGCCTCGGTCCATGGCGCGTCATTTACAGCATCTCGCTCGGCCTGGCCATCTTGATGCTTCCGCTCGTCGAGCTCTACCGCCGCCGTGTCAAGGCCTCCGAAGCTACCAACTAAACACATTCATTAGTATATCAACCGTAATCTAATAACGTAACCTAATAACCTACTACTTGTGTTTCTAAATTGAGCCAAGCCACCATGCCACTACCAAAGTGCAAATTGACGTCGCAGCACGTGCGCCAAAGAAGCTCGCAACATGAAATCACTATGGGCAAATTTTACTCGATGTTTGTATGTAATAATATAAGACTCGAATTGTTTCGATTGGCTATATTGGTAAATCATTTCATCCAATCGCAGGCACTGCGTGTGGCCACTGCCACGACACAGCGCCGGTCGGATGGCCAACACGACATTCCAAATGAAATCGCTGGTACTTGAAGGGCCAATAGTACACGCTTCAGAGAGCACGACGCGCTATGCCACGTTGGCGTTCGAGGTCCACAGCGGGCGCAGTCGACCGATCTGTTAAAAATGGTACATGCCATATTTAGCCACATATAACCCTAGTGCCCCATCTGCGCCGCTGGCTTCGCCACTCGCACGCTCGTCGCCGGGTGCTGGGCTCGTCGACCCGAGCAGCGGCCTCACGCTGGCGCATTCCATAATCCACTCAAGCTCCAACAACAAGCAGACTGCATGTAGTCTCAAGGTGTCCGCTGCGTGTATAGTGCAATGTGTGCAGGTTGAACTATCGCAACGGGGTCGACTATCGACAGATATATATATATGAAAAAAGTATATTTTAGCTCGTGTAGTAGGGCGAGAGTTCGCGCTCAATCCACGCTTCCCACTGGTCTTGTTCGTCCTGCAGCACGCGCAACGCGATCGCAAGCCGAATGCACTGCGCGACGAGAACGACCATGAGAAGACCGAGGCCGCCAAGGACGTAGAGCGGAAGGGGAAGCGCGTAGATGCTGCAGAGCTGGAGACTCACGAGCGCGAGCACGAGCGGGATGAGGTGGTACGCCAACTTGGTCTCCAGGCGCTCGCCCTGGTGCACGACGCGCGCTACGTTGGCGCGGCCCGTCGTCGCCGCGTCGCCTTTGGGCGCGATGAGCGCAAAGCGCCTCGCGTAGCAGCAGCTCGGGATATAGTCGAGCAGCGGCAGCAAGATGAGCAGGTAGATCCACTCCATGTTGTCGGAAATCGCAAAATGGCGCTGGCGGTGACACGCGACAGCATTACTCACGCCGGGTGCCGCAGCCGCGCGGCCGATCGTACTGCAGTCGCCGGTCGAGAGAGAGGATATGCGTATCTGGACCATTGATCCTAGTGTATACTTCTTGCTCCTCTGCAGCAGCCACTCTACAGCAGCCGCCTTCTACCGAGCACTGAGCACCGAGCACCGAGCTGCCGGATCTCGTAATCGTTGGAATCAGGACGCAGGCAGTCCGCGTCTCGACCTCGTGGCTTTACCGACGACACGGCGTTGTCTCTGGCTCGACACGCTGCCACGTGGCAGTCTGCAGAAGTTAGCAAGACAGAGCACATCAAGGTGGCATTTGGGGTTAGTCGAGGCGCCGCCGCTTGTTGGCATCGTCCGGTGGCGCGGCGGCGGCGGCGGTGGACGTGATGAACTCCTTCCGTACGTTCTTGTCTTGGCCGCCAAGGACGTACTTGACGTTCACCGAGCCATCTACGCCATCCTTAGCTCAAGAATAGACAATATATGTGCGTACCGTCGTTGAGGCTCGTGATACGACCCGTGCCACCGAGCTTGTTCATGCCGGCCCACGTCCGCGGCAACACGTGCACGACGCTGCCCTTGACCCACGCCACGGGGGCCTCGAGGTCCGGCGCGTCATCGCCGCGCATGCGGCTTCGTCGTGTCATCGGCTCTTGCTTGATCGGCGTCTCGTCGTCATCTGGGCGACGCATCGGTGGCTTCTTGGCAGCGGGCGGTTTCTTGGTGCGCGGCTCGGTTGCTACGACAGTCGACGGTTGCGTCGGTGCCTCGGTGGCAGCCGATGCTTGGGTGGGCGACGGCGCCGGCGTCGCAGTGTCTGTCGACGCGCCGTCGTCCTTTCCCGTCAGCACCGGTGCGGGGCGCTTCGGCGGTCGTCCGCGAGGGCGCTTGGGCATCTCGTCTTCGATCGGGTTCTTGCGCGGACGTCCGCGGGGAAGCTTGACGACGGGCTCGGTCACGTCGTGCTTGGGTGGGCGGCCACGACGCTTGGGCATCGCGGCGTCCGATGGCTGTAGCATCAAGAACGAGTGCGTTGTCTCCGCCACTGCGACGCCGGTGGCTGCTGCACCTACACCCTCGTTGGTGGCTGCTGCACCTACACCCTCGTCGGCGGGTGCGGTAGCTACATTCTTGTCGGCAGCCGTCGCAGGTGGCGCTGGCTCGGGCATGACGATCTTGCGCGGTCGACCGCGCTTCTTGTGAACGACGACAGAGTCTGGTGCGCCGGCCGCCGCTGCAGCCGGTTTCGTTGGCGTCTCGAAAAAGTCCAGGAGCGACCGCTGCCGCTCCGTCTTGATCGGCGGTGTCTCAGCGTCGGGCTTGCGTACGGCCGGCCTCTTGCCTTTGCCCTTGGGTGTCGTCGTTGTCGCCACTGCCGTCGTTGCCGTCGCCGCGGACACCACCTTGCGGGGCCGGCCTCTCGGCTTCTTGGCGAGGATCGTCGGTGGCTTCAACACGACAGCAGACTCGGACGCGATGGCTTTGGACTTGGTGGGTTTTGCCTTCTTCGCCGCCTTGGTCGGCTTGGCAGCCGCCACGACAGGTGCGATTTGCTCGTCGTCCCCATCGTCGTCGTCAGCGTCTGCTGGGGGCTTGACGACCTTCTTGCGCGGGCGCCCGAGCACGCGCTTGGGCACCGACACGACGGGCGCTTTGCCCGCCTTTTTCGATTTGCCCGCATCCTCGTCCGAGTCGTCGTCGTCGGCAATGTCGCTCGTGTCCAGCTCACTTTGGCTCGTGCCCGACGCCGCTTCGTCCTCGCTTCCCTCCGACACGGTCGCCTTGCTTGCATCGTCGTCGTCATCGTCGACGACCGCTTTCGTGGCTTTGCGCGGACGGCCGCGCACCCCCGTCTTCTTGCGCTCGGTCGCCGGGTGCTTCCGGGGCCGGCCGAGCACGGGCTTGTGAAGCCGGAACGCGCTCGGCTTGCCAAAGGCATCCGGCGGATACTGCCGCAACACGAGCAGCCCGCGGTGGCCGCCAAAGACCAGCGAGTGCTGCCAGTGCGACGCGATCGGGCCAAAGGCGAGGCGGTGGATGGCCACGTCGCGATGCGGGAACGTTCGTTTTTCCTACGACATGTGAGACAGGCATGCGACAGCATCTACCTTGGTGCTCATGTTGGGCTCGGGCGCAAGCCGCTGCGCGAAGTCGACATGGATATGGCCGTCGCTCGGGCGCGTCCATTGCGCGAGCTGCACCGAGGGCACGCGCTTGCGCTTCACGTGGGGGGCCAAGCCCAGGATATAGCGAACCGTGCCGGCCGCGCAGCAGGATGCAATGATGGTGCGCTCGTTCAGCTCCTAGTCAGCTCGTGCGAACGCGTCATATGAGGGAACTCTACCTCCGAGTAGCCGAGTTGCCACACGGGACTGTCGACCTGCGGGTGCCACGTGACCGCGGTGGACGTGCCCGACTAGGGTTGGGGTAGTAGGATACGAGATTAGGGATTGTGTACGTAGAGATGGAAGGAGAGCACGCAGCCTTGGTCGCCCGAGACTTGGAGCAAGCAGTTGGACGACCACTGTACCGAGAGCGCCCATGTCAGCCCTTGCAGGCGGTGCGCGCGAATGCACGCGCGCGGCTCGCGGACGTCCCAGATCCGCAGCATCGAGTCCTACATGGTCACACTCGTCCCATAGATTGATTGGCCGTGCACGTACGTTGCCGACGGTCGCAAAGATATATGGGTCGTATGGACACCACGCAATGTCGCGGACCGCGACCCAGCCCGCGCCCCACCCAAGGCTGGGCAGCTTGCACACCGTGTCGACTAGAGAATCGAGATGAGCCTCGTTAAATGCGCCGTCAACGTACCTGCGTCAAAGCGGCGAAGCGGTGTCAGCGTCGGCGCGTCAGCAATGCTCCACAGCTGGATCGAGCCTACGCCGTAAGACATCAGTCTCGCCGGAACTCGAGTCGGAGCGCGTACCGTCGCAGGCGCCGCTGAGAAACTGGAACGGGTTCACGAGGCTCCAGCGCAGCGCCAGCGTCACGCTATGGTCTCGTGTTGTGCTGCAGAACGGCGCCAGGTCCAAGATCGGTTCGGTCGTGTTCTTTGGCACGTGGTAGAGTACGATGCGCCCGTCGGCGAGCGCAGCCGCGAGGAGCCCGACGCCCGACTGCCACTCGCTCGGGAGGTGCTCGCGGTGCTTGTTCCACTGCACGTCCCAGGCAAAGCCGCCGTCATGGCGCAACCCGACCGTCCATGCCATCGTCTCGGGATGCTGCTTGGGCATGCTCCACACCTGGATGACGTTCTCGCCGCTATACTTTTGGTCGTACGTGTGGTCCGAGACGCTACCGTCTGCGTTCGTCGGGTGCACGCCCAGCGCCAAGTACGCGGGCCCGACACCTTCCACGAGCCAGTCCATGGCCCAGATCGGACCGCCCGCGTTGGTGTAGATGGCCTCGTCGCCAGCTACAGAAGTGAACGGCGCAACCTCCATGACCTCGTCCGGCGCCTTGGCCTCGGAGACGCGGAGCGCCGGCGCGGCTGCGACGCCCGCGATCTTGGCGTAGGCCGTCTCCATTCGGGTTGGCACCAGTTTGCACCGTTGCAACTCCACCAATCGCACCCCGGGGCCCGCAAGATTCGGCATATGCCGCGCGCAACTTCGCGACAACTGCCACCTGAACCAGCTAATTTCGGCAGCATGCAGCTTACCGCAATCGTAAGCTCTCGACAGCGCTACGGGCCGGTCGCGTCGGAGGCGACTCGCGCACGGAATATATAGGACGGTACGAGCGCTGCCACACGACGCAGCCGCTTCTCTTGAGGACCCGCAGCTCATTCATTATGCACAGTCGCAATGTACCGTCGATTTTACGAAAAGACGGTGTATTTCAGCAAATATACGGTCGAAGACCCGGCCACTCGAGCGGACCAGCACCACGCCACTCGATTCGACGCGCAGTGCCAATGAATGATAGACGCCTGTGCCTGCACCGTGGCTCTCTTGGCTCATCCTGGCCGTCGCTCGCAGCCAGCTAACGTGGCTGGACGCCAGCACGCCAGTATTGGGCGGAAGATCGCGAATCTGGTCCGATCACCATCCGGATAGGATGAACCGACTCGAGGTCATCGCCCAGCACGTGATGCCTGCGACCGCGCCCGTAACCTCGCACGTCTTGGACACGTCCCGCGGGCGCCCCGCTGCCGACATGCGCGTCGCGCTCGAGCGCGAGACGGCGCCGGGCGTCTGGGCACAGATCGGCGCTGGCGTCACCAACGCCGACGGACGCGTGCCTGGCCTCACGACGCCCGGCCAGGACGTCGTTGGCACCTGCCGCATTACGTTCTACACGCAGGCATACTTTGAGCAAACCAACGTCGCCGAGTTCTTCTACCCCAGCGTGACCATTGTCTTCCGCGTCACCGAGATCGGCGGCCACTACCACGTCCCGCTGCTCATCAACCCGTTCGGGTACTCGACGTACCGCGGCAGCTAACTTCATGAATCCACTCCATCGTCATGCGTACAGTGGTCGTGACTTGATCTTTCCCGCCCCTTCCGACCGACGTCACTGCGCCAGCGGAAAAGTTACCCAATAGCGCCAGCTACTCTGCTTCCTTGGCGGCGCGATTGCACCGTCGTGGCCTCGGCTGCGCCGGAGACGCGCAGCTCCAGGTGGCTGCGCGCACCCATCCAAGCTCTCGGACGCGGTGTGAGCTCGCTCGTGGCAGAGGGTGACGTCCGCGGCGCCGTCTGCTGTGTCCCATGACACTGCGTTTTCCATACAATCGCCAAGTGCAAAGTGGGCACTCGGCCTTTCTCAGCACCAAAAATTAGGCTCCCTCGGTAGAGAGTCCAGCGCGTCAGACCAACTGGGTTGCCAGAAGCATGGCACATGCCATTTGTGTACGTCCGCTACCTGAACCATCACGCGTTGTTGTCGAGCCACTAGCGAAGGAGGTATGACCAAGTACGTTGCCGACCAAGCCGACGCGCTGCGCGGGATCGATGTCCTGCAAGGCGTGCCCGTCTCGGGCTGGAAGCCAGACGCGCACTCGGACCGGTGCAACGCCTGCGTCAAGAAGTTCCGCCTCTTCCGCCGCAAGCACCACTGCCGCGTCGTACGCCCAATGTCTCGTGCATCGTGCCTCTTACCTTTGTCTAGTGCGGCGAGATCTACTGCTACAAGTGCCTCCAAGAGCGCTACGTCCGCGTCCCGCTCGCTGGCACAGCGCTGACGCTCGCGTGCATGTGGTGCGTCGACAGCGCGCCGCAGGATGAAGCGCTCTCGCGCGGCGTCCCGTCCACGCGAAGGTCGCTCTTTAGCCTTCCGCGGTCGACCGAGTCGGACGTGACGCTGCCACCACCGCCGCCCGTCGTCAAGTCGTTTCCGCTGGCGTCGACGCACCCGATGCTGTCGCCGATTCATGGCGTGCCCAAGCTCCGCAGCGTGCAGCTCAAGGCGCCGTCAAGCACCGTCGACTCGCTCGCTGGCATCTGCGCGAGCATGTGCGACGCCATGGACTGTGCCTTTGGCGCGCTCGTGCTCTACACGGAAGGCGCGCCGCTCACGGTGCTCACGCAGCAGGGTCTTGGCGCGTTCGTCATGGGCGAAGCCTTTCGCCTCCTCTGCAGCCGCGCGGTCCTCGCCGGCCGCATCTGCTGCGTCAACTACTCGTCCGGCGTCTTTCAGTTTTGTGCCACCGCGCCGCTTCAAGATCCAAGGACGCACGAGGTGTATGGCTGCGCAGTGGTCCTCGACGCATACGAGAAGCCGGGTTTGAACCCAGCACTGGTGCTACCCCACTTTGCCAAGCTCTCAATCGAGAAGCTACTGAGCATGGACCCCAAGCTGCGCCGCGCGCGACCGCTGTGCAGCTCGTACCACGAGACCCACGCCAAGCTTATCTCGATTCGAAGGATACCCAAGACGACCGAGCCGCGCCTGACCCAGTAGACAATATTGAGAATATTAGATAGACAAAAGAGGAGACCCATTTTAACCTTCAACGACGACCGTCACCTGCTAGGGCTAGGGTACGTAAAGGGTTAGGGTACCGTCCGCAGGGCAGAATCCCCATGCTTCGTTGAGGGCGATGGAAGTGCTTGTCGACATCTTGCCTTCATCCAAACGCTGGCTGTCCACGAGGCGGAGTGGTCGAGCTCCGTTCGATTTCTTGGGGAGCGTTTTTTTTTATTCAAAAACAATTATTTGGTGAAAAAACAGGGGTGGATGAAGGACATTGGTGTATGTAGCTTAAACCGCACGGGGCTTTTTGTTGGTCCGGCGCGGGACCGACTTGAGCGTAGCGTGCGACGCCGGCGGTGGCGACGACTCGACCTTGATGCCCGAGAGAATGTACCCGCTGCCCGCGCTCATGGTCATCTCCGGGTGCGTTCGGCCCGGCAGCACCTGTACATACGTTTGTCACTCAACACAAAGATGCTGGACGAACCTGGTACTCGCGCGTCCATGTGTCGTTGAGCTGCAAGTTGACGATGGAATCCATGCGCTGGAGCGCGTCGAACGCGGTCGTGAGCGGCTCGAGGTACTCGGAGTAAACGACAAACGGCTTGGAGAGGCCGAGGAGCGGCAGCAGCGACTGCAGCATCGCGAGCGGGTCGTAGTGCGACGCAATGATCAAGCTGTCGGACGGCGTCCGCAGCAACGTCCGCACTTCGGCCGGCGTCCGGCGCGTCTTGGTCTGACGCGCCTTGGTGCGCGCTTCCTTCTTCGCGAGGTACTTGGCCTGTTCTTCCGGCGTATAGAGGGCAACGCGCTCGGCGACTTCGCGCTGGCGCGCTTCGATCTCTTCTTGGGTTGAGTCCATCTCGGCTTGAGACTTTGGCGGCGGCGCCAGGTCTGCTTCATCCTTGCTCAAGAGCCCGACGTAGCCCAGCGGGAACGGGATGATGCTGTCGTTCACCGCCGGTTCTAGCATCGCGTGAGCTACCCACTCCTTCCATACCCGTTCAGTACCAAAGTTGAAGCGGCGCAGTGTATCGGCCGCCATCTGCTGGCCTTCAAAGCCCGCCAGGATACGGCCATGGCCTAAGAGCATATTGTGCAGCAAGGCGGCGACGAGCGAGAGGTCACGTACCCAGCATGCGCTCTGCGATCGCGCCCGTGGCGAGGCCCATGCACGTGTCGACGACGAGCACCTGCGCGCCGGCGTAGACGTTGCCGTACTGGAGGAGCTGCCCGAGCGTGTCGGCGCGCAGGTTGAGGATCTTGAAGGGCTGGCGCACGTGGTAGACTTCCGTGAGGCTCATGGCCGTGCAGCGCACCATCTGAATGCGTGGCATGTACTTTTGCTGCTTCTTCTTGAGGTACTTTTGCTTTGAAAAATCCGTCTTCGTGTCCCACGTGTCCGAGTTCTCGACGAGCTTCGCGATGAGCTCCGACCCGTTGACGCCCGACGCGCGCAGCTCAGCGATCTGCACGTTGCTCAGCTTTTGCGAGTCGTTCGTGTCGGTGTAGTGGCGGTTGTCGTTGGTCGGGACCTGGAAATCGCCGACCTCGGGCGCGACCGGGTCCGGGAAGAGGCCTATGATGGTCATCGTCAAGAAGCCGCATGGCGCAAGATGCGTACCGCCTGTGACTGGCACCAGCGCCTTCTCGCTCTCTTCAAAGATCGTGCCATACGGGTGGCCGATCGCCGACTTGAGCGTCACGGTGGCCTTGCCAATGCGCAGCGTCCTACGCCGGCGAGGTGAGCGCCATGGCCAGCAGCGAAGCGCGTACATCTTGGGCGAGACCTCCTGGAAGAAGACGCGGTCATCGCTCGTGTAGCACACGACGGTATCGCCGTCACGGATCACGTCGGCCATCGTCCTCTTAGTGGTTTCGGTGGCTGCCGGTCCGAAGCTATATCCGGTCGACCGGATAAAACTGCTGGTCAAGCTGGTCACGAAATTGGCTATTTGCACGTCACTTTACCGTCATACTCGCCTGTCGCGCTACCAAGAAGCGAAGAAGCACAGTATGACGCAAGGTACACGATAGAAAATGGATAGAGCTGTTTTGTTGTCGATTGAGTGAGGCGGTGACGAGCTTCCCAAGCGTACTAGGCACTGCGAGGCAGCGTAAGAGCGGTGTTTTTAGACATAGCAACTAACATTGTATGACGTGGCGCGCGGAGCGTGCTTGAAGTACCCTGACCAGGTTTCATTCGACTTGAGCTTTACCACCGAGACGAGCAGCGTCCGTCCTCGGGAGTGAGCAGTGACACCGCTACGTCCTGCGAGACACAGGCAAAGGGTACACAATGTATATATATATTCAATAGATTACAATGGAATTTACGTCGCTCCGGGCGGGCCATTATCATCATTCCCTAGTTCGTAACACCAGCTTAAGTCGCAGAAACTAACATCATGGCACTCGTACCAAACGAAAAGAGGGATGTGATGACATCGTCGCCCATGTCATGCCTTCGGTGCGCCCGCCACGGCGTCGGGTGGGCCCGGGACACGAGCTTGCGACACAGCGCACACTGCCACGGCTTCTCGAGGCGCATTTGTTCCTGAGCCAACCTCATTCGCCCCAGCACCAACTATGGAAATGCGCCTACCTGAAAGCACTGTCGTAGGCACCCGAGGTGGAAGCAGTGGCCGCACTCGAGCTGCTTGGCCACGCCCAAGGGAGCGAGACAAATGGCGCAGACGAAGGCCTCGCCATGCTCGTCGGTGCGGCTGCAGGCGACGTCGGGCAGCCTATTGCAATCCAATATACGCTCTTATAGGAGCAGTATTGCTGTCGTACGCTGTCGAGAGCTCTGCAAGGATCGCCGTGTAGTCGTAGTACGCGGCCAGTCGGCCTTGGGCTTTGCTCAGCGTCCGCTTGACGTTCATCACGAGCACAAAGTCCAGAAAGGAAACGCGAAAACCGCCGAGGGAGAGGACCCCCATGTACTGTGCGAGCAAGCCAATAAGGTGCGCCACGTCCAGTATAAACTGCGCCTGGAGCAGCAGCAGATCGCGCTCGAGGCGCGGGCCGAGCACGAGCAGCACCGTGTGTGCCCACTTGACGAGTGCTAAGAGCGCCTCGGTGCACGTCAGCAGACACAACACCGAGGACGCAGCAGAAAACACAAGCCAGGACGTTGCTAGGAGTCCGAGAAGCAGCACGAGGGCCACGGCGAGGATGGTACCGGCAGCGTGATCGGGCAATCCCGCCTAGACCATGCTTGAGCTCGTGATACATCGGTAGCTTCGACTACGTACGTAGCTCAGTCGCAGACGCAGGAGCGTCAGCGTTGCGTGTAGTAGCGTGAGCATTGACATCCAGCCCACGAGGCGAAGCATTGTCGGGAAACCGACGCTGCCGAGCGTGTTGAGGAGCAGGATGCAGCGCAGGACGAGGAACTGGAGCATGTGCTCGCGGACGCGGCCAACTTCGGCGAGGCGAACGCCGCCAAAGACCATCGGCGAGGCTGCATGGAAGACCGCGTAGAGGCACAGCATGTACACGTTGAGGAGCGCAAGGACGCTGGGCTTGGACTTGGCCGCGAGCTCGACGATGGCCTCGAGGCTGCCGCAGTGGGCGCTCAAGCAGCGCTCGTACGTAGAGGCCAAGGCGACGGCGCCGGCCGCGCAGCTGAAGAATGCGTACCGCTGGCACTGGCGCCGGTCGGCGGCCCACGCGTCGGCGTCGTCCGCCATCACCTTGTTGAACGAAGCCGTTGCACACTACGCACACCATTTTACGTGCTTGAAATAGTATACTATGTGCGTCCTCTCCTAAGCGACGTTTCTTCTAACCGACACAAATCTTTCCATCGAGTTCCCGCCGTTGGGATTCAAACAGCTTCTTGCTCTGGTAGACCACATTGGCACTTGTGGGTCTGTACGAGAATGGACCGAACCAGATCTTATCTGGTGTGTGGGACAAGGCGGTCTCCCGTTGCCTCAGTCGTGTCCTGTCAAGCGGTCTGGTGCATTTCTTCTCCAGATGTGCAATTTGGACTCGGGAGCCATGCAGCGCCTCACCGAAGCTGAGTGCCGCATCTACATTGCGATAGCCTACGAGCAAGGCAAGGCACATTTGTACCCGGTGGATCCGCGCGAGATGGCGTCGCACTTCTGTCTCGCGCGCCGGTGGACGTCGACGGGCGTTGAAGCGTGGGTCGTCCGCCGGCTCACCGACGTGCAGATCAGCCCCATGTTGCTTTCAACCACAGTGTCGTCCACCCCGAAGAAGACTGCCGTGGCTGGCACCATGACGCGTTCTCCACACCTGCCTTCCACAGCCGTGACGTCCATGTCCCCCGAGGGTGTCCCCCGCGGTAGCGTGGCCGGCCCCATAACGCGCAGTCGCCTTCGCCAAGAAAAAGGACTCGTGCGTGATGCTGGTTAGTTGCCCAGCGACTTAAAACACTGTGTGGCCTACTCCTATAACTCGAACGGACTCAAATAGCATAGTTTAATGGTTGTACACAGTGTCAAGCCGTAGCAAACTCGACTTGAAGCCACTCGAAAAGCTGCGGGAGGTCGTCGAGCACTTGCGTGTCGTCGTCGAGGTCGGCAAACGACGCGGGCGGTGCAACGCGATTGCGATGGCGCCAGCAGTAGCCGCCGACGCGCTTCCGCAAGCCACAACCCTCGACAGCGCACGGGGACTTTGGAAGGGCCGGGCGCGTGACCTTGAGCGTGTGTTTGGAGCAAAAGCAGCCGCGGCGCGCCGGGGTTTCGCACTGCGGGTGCTTGCAGAGCTTCTTGCCGCCGTGGCTCACGCAGCGGAGGCGCGCGTAGACCTGGTTGAAGCAGTCGTCGACCACGCACTTTCGCCGGTACTTGTGGAACGTGCATTTCGTGGCCGCTGGCTCGGCGGCGTTGCCGCAGCCCCAGAAGAGGCAGGTGGCACTGGCCATGCCAAATGATGTATGGCACAATCGGTACAGTGATGGGAGCAGCTGGTCCAGAAGGCAATTTGGGTCGTGTTGCAGACGTCACAGGAGGCCCATCCAGCGAGGCCGGTGGCGTGGGAATGTTAGACGCTGTACCACTGTGCACCAGCGCCGTGGCCAGGGTCGTCGCCAACGATTAGGTTTGTATAACCGTGCGGGTCACGAGTGCGTCCACGCGTCCCTGGAGCGATGAAGGACTATCGTCAAGACGATCTCTGTTGCACGACGCTGCTCGTTTAAACGTTCGCTCCAAGGCTCAAACAGTGTTGAATACAAAATTTTGACAAGTCCCGCGACGACAACTGAGCGCTGTACAACAAATCACACCCGCCTTTGGGCATCGAGCCTCTCTGGTCTAGGGGCAACTCAACATAATATGTAGCTGATGCGTAGCCTACTCAAGCGAATAATTATTTCATTCGCTTGGGCATATTAACCCTTCAACGCCCAATACCTTATTGGTGGCCACGACGAGCGGTCAGCACATTTGATCCACCAACAACGAGCTGCGAACGTTTGCGTCGTTTGGCAACGTGGTCCTCTGGACTAACTACTACTACTAGTAGTTATTTCAGTAGAAGAACCATTCAACAACAAACCCCGTGAGACAATTGTCTCCAGCGAGCTCTGTTGAATACGTCCAGCCAGCTCTGCTCAGTAACATGAATTGCCCCACTTCAACAACAACCAATGGTCTATTCGTAAAAACAACAAATCGTGGCGAGTTGTCAGAGTTGGGTT